CAGCAGGTTGAGGCCGCAGTGGCCGGGAGCGGCCACTGCACTCCAGTCTGGGCGACAGAGCGAGACTCCAACTCAAAAAAACAAACAAAAAAAAAAGTAAACATAAAAAAATCGGCCAGGCTCAGTCGCTCAGCCTGTAATACTGGGCTTTGGGAAGCCGAGGTGAGTGGATTGCCTGAGCCCACAGGTTCAAGACCTGCCTGGGCAACTTCGTGAGACCTCATCTCTACAATAAATCAAAAAAATCAGCCGGGCGTGGTAGTGCCTGTAGTTCCGGTTACTTGGAAGGCTGAGGCGGAAGGGTTGCCGGAGCCCAGCAGGTTGAGGCTACAGTGGCCGCTCCCGGCCACTGTACTCCAGTCTGGGCGACAGAGCGAGACTCCAACTCAAAAAAAAAAAAAAAGTAAACATAAAAAAAATTGGCCGGGCTCAGTCGCTCAGCCTGTAATACTGTGCTTTGGGAAGCCGAGGTGAGTGGATTGCCTGAGCCCGCGGGTTCAAGACCTGCCTGGGCAACTTCGTGAGACCTCATCTCTACAATAAATCAAAAAACCAGCCAGGCGTGGTAGTGCATGCCCGTAATTCTGGCTACTTGGAAGGCTGAGGTGGAAGGATCGCCGGAGCCCAGCCCGTCAAGGCTGCGGTGGCCGGGAGCGTGCCACTGACTCCAGTCTGGGCGACAGTGAGACTCCAACTTAACAACAACAAAAAATTAGCTGGGCGTGGTGGTGGCGCCTGCAGTCCCAGCGACTTAGGAGGCTGAGATGGGAGGATCATCTGAACCCTAGAAAACATCCAGGTGCCTTGGGATAAGCCCTGGGAGGCACCCTAAAGATGTGACTTTTAACCGAAAAACCCAACGAGTCGGAAAGGAGGCTGCAGTTGGGGACCCAGGACGAGGGCAGTGCTGAGGCCCACAAAAGGGGGGAACCAGGGTGGGAAACAGTCGGCTTGAGCCAGCAGGTGGACTGAAGTCTTCCCTTCGGTGCAGACTGTCAGGAAGCAAGAGTGCTTGCGGTGGGGGAAGGGCTGTGGAGGGTCCCTGCAGGGCAGGGGTGGCTTGGAGTGCCCAGACAGGGTCCTGGGCCGGCTCCACCGGCAAGTTACTGGACGGCCCAAGCCCTCCTAGGAAACGGGTGATTGTGCTGCTGCGGCTCTGAGCCAGCACGTGAAGGCCCATGTGGCATGTGGCGTGGCGGGGGGATGGGTGGCCTGGCACCAGGCGTGGCTGGCACAGGGGCGGTCCTAGGCCTGTCCCATGGCTCCTGGCTGCTCCGGGTGGCATCTTCTTCCACAAAGCGGGGGGCAGAGCACGGCGGCAGACCAGGTCTCGGGAGGTGTCCGGAGCCAGAGGCACGCACTTCGTCAACCCTTTATTACAAGTCACGCTCTTATAGAAGTATATGTGGACTTACGTGAAAAAATCAAATGTATCCAAGAATAAAAAACACAGCACAGAGTAGTATATGCATTCCAGTGTTCGCGCCGGAGGCAGCGGCGCCCAAGGAAAAGCTCTTCTAAAACGGCCGGACTCGAGCCAGCCGGCGCGACGTTCGGGCGGCGGGGCCGGCCTCAGGCACAGTGTGGGGCGGCCCAGCTCCTCCGGCCCAGCGGCGGGCAGCACCAGCTCCTCG